ATAAACTTAATATATGTTACTTCTGCCCTTCCCCCTAGATGGCAATGAATCACAGATTGCATATCCTTGTTATTATTTAAATATTAGAAAAACAAACCTGAAATCAGTGGAGACTTGGTTATTTTTTTTTTCAATGTAGACAATAAATCAGCCTTAGTAAAGATGCTATTAATATGTAGAACATATAGGGCAACATTGTTTGGATAGAATGAGAAAGTTTCACCCATATATTGGAACAGCTCTGCAGTGTTTATTGATGAATGTGAACTTTCCACAACCACTGGTGGTATAATCCAACCCGTGGAAAATGCAGCAACATATTAATCCACTGTGGTTTAGTTAACCCACTTTTGGTCGTCAACTAAAACTGTACCTTTTAGATTAATATGATAGTGTGATGTTAAAAGCTCTAATGAGTTTCCTTATATTTGGGGTCAGCCCATGGAGTTGAGCATACGTACACATGTATTTTGTTTTGATTTCTCTGCATTTCGAGAAGAGAAACAAATCGGTTCCCCCATCTCCACTGAATGATCGTTATGGCCTCCAATAAATTTTCTAATTCTGTTTCATAGAGAAGAAGACTCAAAGGTAGTTTTTTTTTTTTTTTTTTTTTAGTATCAGAGAGGTGTTTAAAAAAGTCAGGGAAGCAATAAGATGTTTAGAGGCAATTAAATAGAAAACAGTATTTTCTATTACCTGTCTAGGTTGCTGGTTTATTCTGGCTGGGCAAGAGAGAGAAAGAGCAAGATTTTCAGTCGATGAGGTGAACAAAGTTTGACAAGGCAGTTTTCTTTTATTCGAAAGCGTTTTAAATCTCTAGTAGCTAAAGCTTGGTATTCATAAGAAAATCTCATTCTTAAGGTAAGAATCTCCAGTCTCTCTTGAATACACACAGAAACTGCTGTTTCGGAAAAGTCACCATGACAATTTCTAATAAGTTACGCTAAAGACATTTTCCCAGGAAACAATTTTGCTTTACAACAACAGTTTTACATCAATTTGTCCTTCAAACAGTTGTATAATGTCATCCCTATTACTACTTTAAATGAATAATAACAAAGAAACATCTGATAAAATGATGCACGAATAGTGCTATGATGTTCCCTAATCATTCTTCTGTTTCTACTTTCCTAAAATATAAACAACTATATGGGTTAAAAGGGATCAGTCTGAAATCTAACTTGGCTTAATGGTCTTTAAAAAGCTCTCCACGCAAATATGAACTAATTAACTTCCAAATTAATTCTCTGATCACACCTTCGTACATAAAGTCTTTGTGCAGACGGCGGATTTTGCATGAGTCGTTCAGTGTGTTAAGAGAGGAGGAGAATCTGGATGCCTAACATTTAAAATTTAACACCTGACAAAGGAAGATACATCACAGTTGTCCCTTTAAGCGTGATAGATAGATTTTTTTCCTAAAGGCAAACCTTTCATACTAAAGCAAAACGGATACTGCGGTGCATTCATAACTTTCAGTGCTAACAGTTTTGACTGCTGTAAAAGCAGGTTCACTCAACATGCAAACACGTCTTCTCTCAAAGGTCGTCATCCTGTAGGCCTGACTTAAAACAGCAGGAGGACAAATGATTATCAATATCACTCAAACATCTTCAATCCGAGTCCAAACGAGGCAGGCTGTGATGAAATGTGCTCTTTTTATGGAGATCTTTCTCTGCGGTCTATCTTCGTCTTTTTTTCCAGGACTATTTTCTCTTTCATGGGAGCGGTCGTCTCTAATTTCTCCAGGGACCTACAAGCTGCTGCTATCTCAGCTGTGTTTACTAATCTTCCCTCGACACCAATTTCTCAGCCCCACAAAGTTAATGCTGGTCCAGTGTAAATAGCCTTATCTCATAAAACCTGTGTTCTCCCCCGCCCCTCTCCAGCTTGGCTGCTTGATGTATACATCATTAGCAGTCCACACACAGGGGGATTAGGTCAAAAAAGAAGGACGGGGAGGCAAGAAGTTTGTGTTTCCATACCTGGAGCAATGTTATCATGCATGATTAACACTGAAACTGTCAGCTTGGACATGTAGTACACACAGCCACCAGAAGATGAATAACAGGAGTGGTTCTCCTAAAGCATTTCTGAAGGATAAGCAGGCCCCACATCAAATCAAACGAGTCTCCCAGTACTCTGAAGTGATTGATGTTCGGATCGTCGTCATTCATAGATTACTGTACCTATCTCGCTCCACCTGCGCCAGTCTGCTTCAATGAAGACCCTGGATTGTTGTATATGCCACGGCAGCGAGTTTTAATTAAACCCAAAGGGGGGAAGTATTAATTATCTCATTGCCTGCTGTGAATAGGCTAGCGGCTGCAGGCGGATTCTCACATGAATGCTGATGATGCTGAGGTGAGTGAGGTGTGGCTTTGAATTAAATGCTGGATTTATCGAGCTCGGGATTGTATTTGGATAACCACCTTCAGACGAAACAACAACAAAAAATAAATAATAAACGGGAAATTTCAAGCTGTAAATCAGAACGGGGGAAAAAAGCTGACTGTGAAACAGGCCTAATTTCCCCCTCAAGAATGTTTTTGACCATTTTTTAAAAGGCTACTTGAGCTGATGGTTCTGAAACAGACAGAATGCTCCCCCTGGGGCATCCATTTAACTCTGTTTAGATTGTATCTGTTCCACTCAGCTTATCTATCTTCATATCTGCCATATTAACTGTCTCCTTGGCCATCAAATCATGTCCATCGCCTCCGACGAGCTTGTAATATTCATAGTGAACACGATTGTTCCCTCTCTGCTTCACTTGTACAATAAACACTTCAATGAATGCTTTTGTCAAGGGATTATTGAATTCCCATTACCATATGATAGACTGATTGATTAGCTACACCAGAGGGGTGTTTATTTCTAAATCATATTGCGAATTTTTCGGTAAAAGGCGCTTTAACAGATAGCCTGTTGCAGCCAATGATTTCATTTTTTTTATTTATTTATTTTTTATTTTTTTGCTGCGAACCTGAAACAGCAGTTCTCTCTTTGCCAAACCCCTGTAGGTATTTGTTAATGCAGAGATGGAGGAGCGCCTTATAAACTATGCATGTCGTATCCCTCTGGCAGTCACCAGTAGAGAGGATGATGGCAGGAAAGGGCTGGCTTTCATTAGTCTTGTGAGGCTGCTTAACATAAAATTATCCTTGGGGTGAGCAGAATGCAGACAAAAACAGGGTGAGGGCTTCATTAAGCTTGATGAATTAAAGACATCAGACATGAACGTAAGAGGAGTTGCACAGAGTCAAACTTTTCTGACACTTGGAAATAGCCACTTGTGCAGCATGAAATCAAATTTGCTGTTTCATAGAGTGGAAACTAAGAGCTGCACCAAACATTCAGAAAATGTATAATTTGGTAAATTTTAGAAAAAGAACGACAAACAATGTAAAAAACATAAACTTTTTACTCAACACCAAATTATTGTATGCATCACTGCATAAAAAACATACTTTAAATGTCTCCCATGGAAAAATATTTGTTTTATTCATTGATTTATGTTCACAAATACACGTCAACCTTTACATGGTGACATAGATGGTATTTTAGACACATAAAAACATAAAGAACTTAAAGAGATTTAAAATCTAAACATAAAACAGGATAGAAAAGCTCATTGATCAAGATCCAACCCAACAAACCAATAAAACCAATAAAAAAACACATTATTATTCAATTAAGAAAAGTAGCAATACTTCATGACTATGTAGTAGATCTTGCTCAAGAAATTATTTTCTTTTATAATGCATAGTTTTTGCAGTCAGAGATTAATTTTCGTTTTGCCTATAAGGAATTAGCCATGTTTATTATTCATATGTTAAAGACTTGTCCTCGAGAGGGTTTACCGCATGGGAAGCTGAATGAATTCAGCAAACACACAAGGAGCACTTAAACCTAAATAAGTTCAAGAATTGTTCAAGTTCATCACATTTACTTTCTTAAGATCATAAAAATCCTGTAATCTGATAATCTTTCTTGCCAATTATATACTATCCTGAGTGGCTGCATGTGAGTAGGAGGTATAAAGAAAATCAGAAATTGCATAACACATTTAAGCATAAAATGATACATAAACCATCATTAGTCCAAAGGTTTCCAAGTTTGCTTCTGTAACTCAAACATATTGACATACTTGCCAAAAATCCAACACAGATATGACACTGCTGAGACTTGTTTGTTCTGCAGATTTACAGCCAATCAAAGGACAGAGACAGTTTGATTCTAGGAAGCAGACTGACAGGTTTTTGCAACGTTTAAATCAATGTTGTTACGACATACAAAACTGAATACACTTGTTTATGTCATATTTATTCTTTTATTCAAAATAACAATTTTTAACCAAATCTAAAAACATACTGTTCATGGTTTTCACATGATTTTATCCACACTAAATTTATCTTTGAAAAATTGCTGTATGGTCATTTCTGAATAGAAATATCTCAGTAAATATCCAGTAAATTAAATTGTACTTTTTCAACTGTGAAATTGCATCTGTGGACTTCCACATCGTTACAATTGTTAGACTAATTATAGGACTCATGCACGTTAAGAGCCAAGAAAACACGGACTAACTTCTCACACCAAAATGTAGCCATTCCTATAACCCAACTTTGTTTTTTAATGAGAGTGCATAAAACCTGACAAACAAACAGCTGACACAGAAATGGTTCTGGAGTTTCTGGTAATTGCTTTAGACCAGAAATCCAACACTACTTTACTGTTTGCTCATCTACTGACTCGGAGCAGTATACTAGCATCTTGGGAGCACTACAGCCCCCGACAGGTAAGACGTAGAAATGTTACTTCTGTCCAAATTGGAAGCCTGCCACTGTGGTTTATGCACTGATCAACTTTACTTGGTGCTTACTAAATGTCCTCGTGTTTGACCAATAGCTGCACAATTTTCACCAGTAGTTTTGGAGAAAAATCAGCTTTGTTATTTGGCTAAAATAGCCAAAGCAGAAAAGAGGAGGACTTACCCCTCAGGAGGTCGCTGCTGGCCGAAGGAGAGCTGTATGTCCGAAACAACATCCAGTCAAAGTCATCATCCTCCCCTTGGGTGAAGTCACACAGATTAGGATCCGAGTCCTCTTCAAACGTGCAGCCAGCAGCTAAAAGAAAAGAAAGAAATAAAAAAAATAAAAAACAGAATTAGCTAAAAGGCTAGAATGGGGACTCACCACATTTTCCTCACAAGTATGTAAAAGATGAAATGATAAAATAAAGCTCCCAGCACTAAAATGTCAAACTTAAGTAGACAACAGACTGGAAAAGTGACCACAGTCAGCTGTTCAGGTGACACAGCTTTGTTGTATTTCAATATAAAAAGAATAGCTGTGGTGTGATGGTTTCACATAGTAACCCTGAAACATACACCTATTATCTGGACCTGCCAAACTCACTGCCCACACATTCAGCAGGGAAAAAAGGCATCAACAGTAATAGAAAATGACTGTGTATACATTGGGATTTCATACGGTGGCCAAACATTCAACTTTAAACCTCAATGGGCCTGCAATCTAAAAAAAAATGTAATTTTCAATGAACTTAGAATAACTCACTATCCTTCTTACACAAAAGTAGCTTGACTGTTAAATCATAGCAGAGAAAAGAAGTATGATTTTCCACTGCCAGGATTTTATGAAGGTTTTTCTAAAGTGCCCTGATGGAAAAATATGCTTGCTTTGAACATATTTGGGTCAGTGAAATATCAAAATATAAAAAAACTGAGCTGATCTGCTGAAGTTAGTCAAAGTCTTGGTATTTTGTATTTCACTTCCTAGTGGATCGACCTGATTCAGATGGTCGACCCAAACTCAGATGACCCCCAGCAGTGATGGCTACTGTTCTGAATGGTAAAGCTCAGGTAAAGAACCATAATCTTTTAAAGAAAGATAAAGGTTTAAAATGACATTAATCTATTTGCAAATGAGCAAATGAGTAAATGCAACATTTGGCTTTAACGCCTTAAAAAGTCCATGTACGGTGGGCCTTAATACCAGGCATGAGCTACATCACTATTAACCAAATAAGCTGCTGCTGCCACCCCAAGTCAGTGATTATTCTTTATACACATGAAAATGAAAATGGCTGCCCACAGATACAGCGGTACATCGTTGACCCCAAGTCAAATCGAGAAGCAGAAGAAGCGACACCTACAGGATGCAGCAGCAGTTTCTGAACAGTAAGTCAACCCTGCCACAGTTTTTTTTTTTTATTGTTTGTTTGTTTTTTAATTGTTGTGGTTTTAGAACCAGACGGGACAACTCCATCGCATCCTTGTTATCTGAGCAGGAAGTCTGCCTCGCTCTTCCTGAGCGTCAAGCTAACTCTGTTGGTAAATTCGGTCATGTAGTTTTCAAGAGTCCTTCGTAAAGTGATTTGTACCAATTGCAGATTTTTTGGCAATGTGGTTGCAACATTGTAATAAAAAAGCAAAATGAAGCCAAACTTATCTGGTCTCCATGACTGAGGGAATGCATGGAGAGCGGTAAAGCTAGTTGACCAAATGTTTTCAAGCCCCGGTTGGGTTGATAGAAGAGAGGCAGTGCACTCAGACTGCTGCTTAATTTGCCACTAAATTAGGTGACAGTTTTTGAATTTTTCAATTGTTTCTCTCTTTTTTTTGCCTTTGGACTGTTTCTAGAAGCAGTAAAGACCTGAATGAAAGTACAAGAATGTATAAAAAGGACAATTTTGATTAACAGGTCCCCTGTAAAGAAGTCTCAAGAACCAAATTTCCTTCAAAGATATTAAGCGACACACTTTTATTATTTCTGCCTTGAACCACTAAAACTAAACATGACAGATTACAATGCCCTGCATGTGAAGGGATATGAAGATAAAAGTACCACTCAGAGTGAGCAGGTCCTTTGGGGAATGCTGTTATTATCATAATATTTCTCAGTCTGCCATCTCTTGAATCAAAAAGCCTCATTTTTTCTTAATGATATTAAACAGTGATAACATTAATGGGTCCTGGAAGCAGGATTGATGGGTTTTGCTCGTTGTTCCACACATCTGTTGCCATGTTTCGCCATTCCTGTTGATGTGAGAGTTACGGTGTTGCAGTGGGCAGTTTCGAATGGCTCTGTCATTTGACCCCGAAGCCTGTGTCAGTAATAATTAGAGTGGGACAGCATGAGACGTGGCATGCTAATGATAGGAATAATCAGTAGCAGGTCCTGAAGGTGACCCCAGTGGTTGGCTGCTCAGTCTTTTCTCTAATCTGCCATTAACCAAATGCTTCCAATGTGGCGATCGGTAGAGAAAAGCAGAACTGGACTCACTGTGGTGAGGATTCAATATTGTTTTAACTACACTTGTAGATTTCCAGTCGTTAAAGTCATGCGCAGTTTAATCAGGCTGCTGTGAAAATAGTAACTATAGATGGTATTGTTTCAAAGATATTTCAGCTGCAAATCCTGTAACAATTACTTTACAATAAGGCTCTCGAGTAACGTGTTGAGTACTTATGAAATTTAAATTATTCACATGTATGTTAACTGTTAAGAGTAAATGAACAGATTGATATTGTGCTTGCTTAATTCTTGTTGTATTTCCGGCTGCATCTTTAGCTCTTTCTGTGTACTTCTATTTCCCTGCAGGTTTATGCCACACCTGTGTTCGATCGGGTCATTACTCACTGCATGTAGGCCCCCAGGGGTTCTCTGGCTGTTTCTCGGATAGTCTTTGTACTCTGCATTCATTCAAACTTTCTAGCTGCTTTCTTTTTTATTATTCCTTGTTGGCTCCCTTGTGCTTGTTCCTGCACTTTTGTAAGCAACTCATTGTGTGCTTTGGGATTTATCTGGATTGTGCTTGTCTTTTTTTCCATGCCCTTTACCTCTTTCTGTGTGTATGTGTTTTGCTGACTTCCTTCCTGAGACTGTGTATTAAACTTTGCATCATGGACATAAACTTCAGCTGCTTTTCTTACATAAAGTTGTTTGTTTTACAATATCGAGCTTCAGGTAACTCAATATCTTAGCTTTCTTATTTTGGGAGAAAACATGTAATAAAAATGTAAACTGAATTTTTTGACATTGGAAAGGCATATACAGAGCAATTAAAATTAACTGTCTATTGCTTTAAAAGGTTTAAATAAGAACTGAATTAAATCAAATGACAGCACATAAAAGCACATCTTTAGAATCAATAGACTAAACCTTTTTAATCAAAAATATTCTAATAGAGCAGCTTTTAGCCGGTATCATTTATGTATTTCTTTACAACCTCTTAGAAATGTTTATGAGCAGAAAGGTCTTACATAAACATTAATTAACCTTCTCTGACACATCAAAACATTTGACCAGCATTTCATCTACTTCATAAAATTTCAAACTGTAGCACATTTATTGGTCAGCTGGCTGAAAAAATGCTGAAACCTCCAGGGTGACCGGATATTTTCTTAAGCTTCATGGAGCCTATTAATATGTAGAACATATAGGGCAACAGTTTTTTCTATGCACTGCTAGTCAGCTGGATTGTAACTATACTTTAATTTTCCTTCAATTACAAGAAAAACTAATCCAGTAGATTGGAAATCATTCTTACAAAAACAGAATGATTTTACAGATAAGCAATAGAAAAAATTCATAGGATTTTTCCTCTTTGGTTTGAACTGCTCTGCATTGTTGTTTGTTGTTCATTATATTAATCTGTAGCTCTAAATCTGTTGTTTATGAAAAGTTGTTGCCTTAAAGCCAGAGTTTGTAACATGGTTTGATTTACCCAGTTGATGCCAAACATAGAAACAAAGTGTGATTTTGACTTACATTTGTTTATACATCAGCATCTAGCATCTAGTTCTCAGGACAAGTAACTGCAAAAAAGTGTGTTTGTATGAAAATATAAAACATATATAAATTTATATCACAGTCAATTATAATTGCTATAAAATAGATAATAATGTTCAACGTGTAAAGTAGAAGAATATAACGTGTTGTTTTTACAGACACCTGCTCAGGTTTTGTAGTGTCACTTTAGCGTTTGTTTAACAAAGCACAAAACCTTTGTCAACCAATCTGTCTGAGTTTGTAGATCTTAATGGTTCTGGTTTTATGCATAGTGGGTGAGTTGCTGAAATGCAGAAATGATTGTCTTGCCCCAAGCAAGACGATCATACAATGGTGCTCTTTGGGAGTAAGAAGCTATTTAAAGGAGAATTTAATGTTATGTTTTATAGCCTGTCTGTAGTTCACTCAGGCTGCCAGAAAGGGAGAGTGAGAGCAAAACCTTAATAGGATAACTCTAAGTCTAAGTGCATTACAACAAAGTTTCTCTGTTTCAGCAATTTTGATCTTTCAGTCTCCATCTGTTCAAAAACAATTTTAGGTTTGGAAATGTTGGCAATCTTTTAGAAATCTCAGAGTTAATATAAGACTACACAGTTTTAGGCAAATAGAAACACAGAAACTGCTTGTATCAGTTTAAAATGCAAACAGCAACAATTTGATCTGTACATATAAAAATAATAGCTGCTCTCTCAAACATGCAGTGTGAAGTTGCCTCCGCTTCCAATGTCAATAAATAATGGCCGGTCACGGCAGGAAGGCAAGAAAAAAATATACACTGTTTTAACATCTGTGTTATTATTGTACTTAAGAATAAATCAGTATCGGGTAGTAGAGGGTCTGAATTTTTCAAAAACTGAAGATAGGAAGTCAGCCACAATATTCTGAGTGCTTCCCCACTTTAAAGTAATCTATTGAAGGTGATTAAATGTTAAGACATTGGTGCCACCTGAGAATGTGCTTTACCTCCTTTTATCAACACACAACCAGCCAACAGAGGCACAAAACATCATTACAGAAAAAGTAAAAACAAGATCTAAAACTACAAATGGCCCACTTGAGTATGAACCACCTACCAATTAACCCAGAAATTTGTTTTGCAATCGGTCCAGAGCTGATCTGAAAAAAAGGATGCTCCTGGGAGACCCTATCCTAGAGCGAATCTGTAGCATTCTGTTTCCCTGAAGTGATGATATGGATATGATAACTGCAGAGCACACCGCGTACGATCGGCCCAGTGGATGAACGTAGAAGCCAACCATAAGAGGAAAGAGTCTGCTTTTCCCTCACTAGGTTTGATTTATTTCCCCGCACTA